GATCTCTAATCAATATAGTAAGTAAACAGTCTAAATATCCTTGAATAACAAAGATCATTTATTAATTGATTTAAAGTTTTGAACAGTTTTCAAAATATATAAGAACTTTTGTTTAAATTTGATCGAATAATTTCATAGTATTTAAGCGCCAAGTTGATATGAGACATTAAATGGGAAGAATGTATTTGTAAAATCTCAATGAATGAATTTGAAATAAATCCAATGTTTCAGCTGACAATCTTTGATAAAGCTTGAACCAGGTTGCCAAGTGAAACATTCAGTTTACTTCAAATTCATTCGCTAATATTTTACAAAGATATTCTTCTTCTTTTAGTTTTTAAATTATTTCTGATTAATTTCATACTAGTAAAATAAAATTTTTGTAGAATAATTTAACATCACTAATAAGTTCATAATTCACTTTTGTTATTGTAACAACAAACTCACTTAGAAAGAAAGTTGAATATTTTTATAAGCAATGATAGATACTGGCTAACAGTGGAATTTAGGACTCGCGTTTCGTCCTATTTGGGACTCTTCAACTGGATGTACCTAAATCTCTGAGTTGATGTTCACTCTGGGACTCGAACCCAGTACCATTCGCTTCAAACGCCATCGCGTTATCCACTCAGCTATCGAGTCTTGATAGCCACTTGCTTGTGCAATGGGGTGCATTTAAATTCGCTTGGTATTGTTTGGCTGATCAATTGCAGTCTTAAACCTCAATGGGAAGATACAAGCCAAACAATACCAAAAGAATTTAGAAAGTTGAGTAGTTTAGTTGTATAACTTATTATAATTACAATAGGACGAAACGATAGTCCAGTACTTACAGGATCTCCATGATAGTCTGGATTCAATTGACTCATGATCACAACTATTGAAATTATCCTAATATTTACAAAAACCCCTTTTCTTATTATAATTTCCTTGCTTAAAATCAAATTCCTAACAACTTCCTTATTCTAAAATATAATTTCTGAAAATCAGAAAAAAATTCTTTCTTTTTTGTAGAAAAAAATACTCTGAATATTATACTCGATTGAATTTTCATATTTCAGTAGTATAAACAAGCATGAAGATAAATGTTAGTTATTTCTGTTATTATTCAATTGATAAATGAATAACAAATGGATATTCTAACTGAACGTATATACTCAGAACTATATATATGTATATACACGACAGTATTGCCTTGAGAATGAATTCAATGAAAATAAACCATTTTCTGGATATGTGTGCTACTGATCTCGACAGATATCAGTAGTATGTATCACCAGTCGAAAGTGGAATGCCTAATGGCAGAATATTGAGGAGAATATAACGAAAATAGAGAGTGATTGATATGAAAATGAAGAAAGAATAAAGTCTGAAATAATTGATGGATATTTTGTAAATGAAATATTTACTATATGGTTCTTAGATTTGATCAAAATATTCTGTAATTTATACGAATATTCGTCAATATTAAAACGAATAGTTTGATAAAAATTAGTCACCAAGTATAGAAAAGTCATTATATGTGAAAATTATACTTGAAATTATCTAAGCGATTGAAATTTAAATTTCATTGTTTCATCTAACAAACTTGTCTACTCTGAAAAAGTCCAGGCAAGTTATCTAGACGAAACGTTGGAAATCATTTCAAATATTATTCTCACATATAATATTCTGTAATGTTGTATCAGTGAACAATTAATTGTTCTCTGCCTGTGCTCTTGTTCACTACAATATTACATGACTTAATGAGTGTATTCTGATAAGTTATTATTTTTTTTGTTTTTAAAATAAAATTTGATGTTTAGGTGTATTGTTACGAATAAAGTAGTAGTAATAGTAGTTTTTGTTTTATTCTTGTATTGTTCAATTACCTAAAGGATGTTTTATTATTGTTAAATCATTTAAATTTAACTTTGATAATGATGTTATAGAAATTACATAAAATAAATGCAATTTTATAATGAAAGCTAAGTACTGATATACATTGAACTCTTAGATAAATATGATCGTTTTGTAATCGGTAGACATTTTAATAGCAATACAGTTTACAGTTAAAATGATTAAAGAATCTTTAAAAAATGTTTTCGGCTTTAGATCCTGACCAGGAAACAGTTTCTTTGTAATGAGAGGTTATCAGCACTTCAGGTTATTTGTGGTTTCCTACTCGGTAAGGGAAATATCATATAGTTCCAATTCGCCCGTAATGAATACTCAGATACTGTATAAATCCTGATATAGTGATAATCAAATGGCAGTAAAATAAGTTTACTCCTATCGAAAATTTAAGGGATTCTTAGTTGTAATCTACTAAAGTTAAAAAAATTTGTAGATTATGTTTATATATCAGAATGTTTTCACGTAAGCTAAAGTATTGATAACCGTTTATCAATTTTATGATTCTTTTTAGTGATGCATATTAGCCGAAAAAAAGTCATGTCATTGTAAAATCTAGGAAGTTTTCTTGTAGAAGTCTTGTGTCATGTGTATTTTTATCTTTAATAAGACCCTAGAAATGGTTTGTTTGTTTCCCAGACAACTTTTGATTGATTAATTTTCTCCTTCTTTGGAATTATTTATTGGTTTCTTGGCTTAACTGTAGTTTTCGGAATGATATGAACTACAGTGTATATTAATCTAATCTCATATTTTCTCTACTTATTTATCACTATCTGATAAACGGTAGATCAATAATGTCAGAGCACTTAAGTATTATGAAAATATTGCAGACTAATATGCCACTGGAGTCAGATAGTTTCATTCAATCTGTAAAAGAAATAGAAATCTAAATATTTACTTGAGAATTTCAACTTAACAAAATATTATATCCTGTCGATGATAATATTCGTTTTGATATATTAGTTTACTGAAAAGAACTGTGGAATACTTCCAATTCATGATGATGATAATGAGAGAAATAGTTCAAATGATGAAATTGTCAAGTTTGAAAAAAAATCAGTTTAAACTGAAATTCATTAATGATTAATTGATCACTTTGAATGATTAAACTTTATTGTTAATGTAACATCAGTGATCAACTAAAATGTTATTCATTTTCGAAAAGTTCCTAAATGTTATTTTCATGTATTTTGAAGGTAGCAATATTGTTTAGTTCCTGACAACTTCAATGTAGAATAAATTATTTGATGTTACATAGATTTTATTGTAAGAAATTGTATTCAATCTAATAAAATAATGAAAATATCAACCAATTCAAGTTATTTATTTATTTATAAATGTTTTGTATAGATTCTCGGACGAACTTTTTAAATCAGTTTGCATTTAGAAATAGTAATGGTAATAGACTGAATAAGAAATAAAATAAGATCTAACGTTTTCATATATGATGATAAGATTTCATTTGTTCTATTTCCCTGATGAAATCCACAGTGCTAATCTAGAAATTCATTCACAAATTAAAAGACACTTTACATAAAATGAATATATATGTCCCATTAACTATTTGTATAAATTTTGTCAATTCGATACATCATGATATCGTATTTTTGTTGAATAACCTTATGTCTATTCAACTGCTTCAATTTATCCATAAAAATAATGTATATCTCAACCTTTTGAGTGTTATTTGTGTATTTACCAGTGATATGTTTGTATTAAAAATGATTTTTAGTGATTTTAAATCTAGCCGAACAGTCACATATTTATATCAGTTCATAAACTAATGGGAACTAGTAATAATTGAAAAGATAATACCTTCATACATCTAACTACTCACAAATGTCCATATTTTCTAACTATTTATGTTTTATGACGTGTATCAGATAAGTGATTTCTTCTATAGAATTTACAGAACTTTTCGACAGTTGCAATTTCTGAGGCCAATTAAATTTAGAATGTACGTGGTTGACCATTGATGATACTAAGCGATAATTATAATTTAGAGACAACTGATTAAAATCAAAATACATTATATACTGGATTCTCATTCAAAAACCAAATAGCATTGATATCTTCATAAGACCAATTGATCCTAGGTTTGGTTTCTTGTGGGTCACAAGATTCCCCAAGGCTCATGGCTAATATCAGTTATTCCTTAAAAAAATGTTGTTAAGATAATCCATTTTAATGAAAACAATTTCTAAATGTTTGTATTTTAACAAGTAAGATTTTAATAACATTCTTTTATTTAAACTAAAAACTTACTATTCAATTGTGTAACTAACAGGATTTTGCTCATTTTTAATTACTGAGAAATTGAATTCATTAGTTCAGTGCATTCGTGGTAACATTTAATTCTGCTTTAATTAAAATAACATGAATACTAAATCCTAAATTATAAAACAGATGACCAAGGAATAACTTTCCCACAGTTATTGAACTAAACTATTAATTTCAATTATTTTCATTAAACCTCAGGGATGATATGATAGATAGTCTGGTTAAACATCACTTCTTAATTTATAAAGATGATTAAGAAAATCATTTATCAACCAGGGAATTCTCCCAAATCAAGGATGTGATTTGAAATGAATTATCAGGTAATAATCTTCAAGAAACTTGTATATGAGATTCAAGTCCTACATCTTAGTTTTTTTAATTTCTTTAATCGTCGTTGAAAATGTTAGCACAAAATGAAAATATTGGTTTAGGGTTGTGGAGCTCACTGAGTTTAGATTGAGATCATGAATGGATCAATGCTAGTCTACCAGTGAGAACCTGAAGGCACTGGACGACTATTTCATCCCAGTATAGGATTCCTCGGTAGTAAGCATCCACGAGGTTAAACGTTTGCACCCGAAACCGAAGGTTCCGGGTCCAAATCCCTCATACGGGATCATGGAGGCGCAGTACTGAGGAGTTTTATACTAGGACTAAATGGTCGTTCAGTGCTTTCAGGTCTTCAGTGGTGATATAACATTGATCCATTCTTGATTTCAGTCAAAATGAAAATAAAAAATTACAAAATCCTTTACTATGTTTTTCTTTTCATAATTTAAGATGATACATAACATCGCATCAAGTTGAAATTAACTCGGTCAGCAATGGATTTTGAAACCAAACCAAATATGAATGAGAATCAGCAGCCTCAATTGGTACAATCATCATCGTCGCCGAATGTAGATAATTCATCCTTAGACCATCCAAACTCTCACCCAACTGTAAATCATGTTATTCATGAAGAAAATGGGAATGATGATGAAGGGAGATATGCTCATGATGAAATTCATCTAAATAATCATCACAACCATAGTAATCCGTTGACCGCTGGTAGTAAAGTTTGTGGAGCTGCATTTAATACCATGCCAATTTATGATCCACAAGGCAGCTTAGTTGGCCTACAAGCATCAACAGATAGAAATTTGTTGGAAGATTTTGATAACGAAGGAAGAAATGAACCTCTTGGGTATAGTACATATTTAGAATCTGGTTTTCACCATCATCATCTTCATAATCAGTATAATTCGGCTCTTCAACAAAATGCAAATGTGGTTCCAGGTGAATATAATTTACCATATGGAGCATATGCTTTTAAATCTCAAAATCGTCATTTGTTTACACCGCTACCATGTCAACAGCAACAACAACAACAATATCACCAGCCAAACTATTCTTTTCTCCATAACTATCAACAAGCACAATACCAGCAACCACAGAGTCATCAACAAGCCCATTACGTTCACCAGTATCAACCTCAAGCAGCTAAGACACTTCTAGTTAGGTCTGCTTCAGGCATCATTGGCATAGATCAAAATAACCATAATAATCCTGATGCGTTTAGACCATTATCTAATGAAACATTTGACAAATGTCCCATAGTTTGTAGTCTATTCGTCATATTGTGTTGTCCAATTACCATATGGTGTTCATTACCAGCGTTAGTTTATTCGCTATGTGCCTATAGTGATTATCGTGCCTCAGATATTATTCAGTATAGACGTAAGAGTGACATCTCAAGGCATTTAGTGTTTACAGCATGTTTAGTTGGTTTATTATTATGTATAATATGGGCAATTTTAACATTCTTTTACTATGAATTTATGTTATCAGTATTTAATGATATTATACGTGTAATTTCTCAGAGAATACGATCCGGTATATAAAAGTATGTCAATTTAAGAAATCATAAAATAATGCAAATATTTCTCATGTTGTTTTCTTTTTCGTTTAATTTAATTCATATTTACTAAACTTTTTCAGTTTCCAAGTCGCATGAAAGCAAGCTATTGTATTTCATGTAAATGTTAGTTTCCGAATATAATGATTATAAATAAAAAATTCAAGAAAGTGAATGGTCATATTTACTAAAGGCATTTCATATGTTTTTATGTATTGATATGGTGAATTACGTATTTAGTCTGCAATTTAGAGCGTAACAGATTTTCGGAAAGACGTTACAATCGAAATGAACTGGAGGGTCACCTAAAACAGAGCATTCTTCTAATCTGTCTTCCGACTGTTGAATAGCTCACTAACTTGTCTTCAAGCCGAAGTTCAATGTCACTGAACAAGTTTACTCGACTTTCCATCGCCTATGAAATGAAACTATAGTTTGTGAAGCATCCATGATGCTGTGAAACGGTATTTGTGTCTAATACAATAGAAGTGAAGTTACTGTACGTCATGGGTGATCAAGATTGAAGCGAACTAAATTACTGATGAGTATCACTGTTCTTAGTTTTAGACTAGTGAGGAATAGTGAGCATTTAGTGGCCCTATATGTGACTCCTGGTAGATTGTTTCTGCTTGTTATCGAAGTATATATATTGCCAAGCTTCGAATATAATCATCGACTTCAACGGCGTTGGTGAATAACGGAATTAAATAAGTCAAATACGAGAACGTATTACGAACACGTATATTTCATACAATCGTTGATCCAATCAAACGATCGAACAAACTAAACGGATCGAACAAGTCATGTAAGTCAACTAGATTTAGTCAAGTGTGAATCGATATTTGTATTCAGACAAAAATAAGGTACAGACATGTAATGAGTAGGATAAGAAACGCACACACATACGCTTACATAAAAGCATTTACGGTTGACAAGTGAATAAGTGACAGGATATAAATGTAGTTTAAGTAGAGTGAATAGATTGATCTGTCCGGAGGTTAGAATGACTTATGTAAGCTTGAAATAGCACCAGCCACTACAAGCAATCTTTACAAAAAGTCTTGAAAGTAGAATGAAAAATCGTCAAATACTACTCAACTTACTATCATAGTTTCACTAACATTCATTTGAGATAAAATTAACTTTGAATTCAAGTCTATTACGTTGAATAGAAAACAAATTTGCTCGAAAACTACTTAACAGTTTTGAATCGAAATAATGTGAGTATCCAGGAAAGATGTCACAGTTATTCGGAACGCAGGCCGTTGAAATATGATGAATATCATTTTTGTCATCTAGTTTAACATTCAAAATGCAAATAGGTACACATCTACTTGGTGACTTTAAACAGTTAGTAATTTCGATAAATCAGGGCAGGATAAACTTTCGAAGAAACATCTAACCTCATCTACCTCTGAATTGAAATTTATAAAATGTTAAGAGATCCGAATACACCAGAGAGTAAATAATGGATGGAAAGTTTTATCAAAGATTGTCATTAGGTCAGCAACCAGGGTGAAACATATGCAAATACATATACCACTTTATTTTGAGCCTGTTAATTGATGGCGAGAAAGCCACAGTGGCAGGGGTGTGGATCAGATAAGAGGAATTTAGTGGTTACTTCTTAGGCATACGGCTCAGATAACAACATATCGCATCCCCACTCTGGTAGTCACACATTTTTATGCAGCTTGGTCAACCACTGAGCTCATAGTGGTTTCGTTGTGGTTGATAATTAACACACTGAATGATCATAGCACAATTGACCTGTACGATTCCAGCGTGACAAAATTTCATCGCATGCATGTCATTACCAGTAATGACAATATTACGTATAATGCTCACCATATACTTAACTTACCATAATTAAAACCTCTCTGGTAAGGAACAACTGGTTCACAAAAACTCATCGTAATACACAGAGTAAGAACAGTAAATTAATAGAAAAATTATCAATAAACGATTAATTTGAGAAAAAAGAGCCAACAAAAGGAATCATTTCTCCAGTGGTCGTAAGTTACGTGTAAGGTATATCAGTTAACTGGCTAAATCAGTTGTTATTCCGGCAGTAAAAATGGAGGAAGGGTCTACTTTAAAATTGAAATGTTACGTTTACCAGAAATTAACTATTATCTTAACCGTTTCTGCTACGTAGTTGAATGATCAACACAAGGAAATGACATAAAACATCCGGTGTCACCATTCGATCCGAAACAAGATTACTGCAGGTGTACGACACTGAAATTATGGAGTTAATGGTTGTTCATTGTGGTCAACTACTGGCATAATTTCGGGGTAAGTAAGCAGTAGATGAAGAAATCCTCATTACTATGCTATAGGGTCAGCCAAGTCATCCGACCGGTTGGTCACTGAATGTCGAACAGTTCACTGATCCCCGTCAAAATCAAGAATAACCAACGTGTGGACTGGTCCATGCAGGAGAGGTCACACTCTGTTCATTGTACTTACTCTTAATGATGTATTATGTAATAACGTCGTTTGTGTCATACGGTCATCAAAGCAACCATAGTACTTAAATACGACGAAAGGGTGGTCCATTTTAGATTTAAACTGTGAGGTGTGATTTCGACGTTAGCTGGTTGGTCACACCACCCACTTCTAGCTCGATTAGGCATCCAATCATTCGACATAGATCATCTACATTGATGATCTTCGATACGATGTCAATAATTAAGATGAAATGAATTTATGAGGCCGTTTATTCAAGAGTCCTGACAAATAAGCGGAATATTATGATAATCAAGCGGCCTGCTTGAGTATCCTGGCTATCTGTTTCTACCATCTAAATGTTTTAACAAATTATGTCTTGTATTTTGTTTTAATCTATAATTATGTCTATGATCGCATAACATATTCAAGTGCGTTTTCGACCCATTGCTTTACAAGATACAAAAAAGTACAATCGGAGACATCGTATGACTGGCAGTACATATTGAAAAGAATGAACACCAATCAGATTTCGATTGCTGCCGATCACCAGTTTGTAAGGTGAACTAACTTCAACAGTTAACGAGTCTAAACAAATATAGCATCTGTAATGTAGCCACAATTCAGGATCCTGGTTAACTGATTCACAGGACGATTGCTTAGTATCACTACGCGATTTCAATATCTATTGTCCGGATCGATCAAGCAATAAAAGAAGGTGTGACGGCAGTATAGCCACGTTTGTAAACGTGAGCTGGTGTTGATCTACTTTTGAGTGTTTCAAGTTTTCAAATGACTTTATCGACTGTTTGACTTTAAGACACCGTACAAAACAATTGAATAAATACAAATATAATAATAATAATTTATTCTCAAATAACAGTTTGTTACATGAGGCATGCCAGTTTACAGGCAAAATCAAATTGATACAAATGATACATTATCCACTGTAGTAAATTACTCAACTGGGTTGATAATTTATAAGATAAGAATGTAGATGGTTTTAATCAGTACCACAGTCGGCGCGCTTCATGAAAGTCGCGTTGCAACTGATGGTCAAGGATAGGTTCATTGAACGTGGGAGCTTCTAAATGTCGCAACCTTATGTCCCTTTGGAATGTCTAAGGCTTTGAGGATGGTGCAGGATGAAATATTTTGTACCATATCACAAGGGGGCTGAAGGAGGGAGCAAGTAAAAGAAAGGACGAGAGGCAGAGTAGCCAATATTCATGAAGGAATGTTTAAGGTATGATTACCCAGTTTAATTTTCTTTTATTAAGGTATTTGTTAAGAAAGAGCATTTTAATAGGTTAAAGAAAATAAGTGTTAACAAGGTAGGAGTGTACATACAACTGACAAATGGAGGCGATTCAGAAAGGAACTGAGAGGATGAGATTATGTTTGATTATAAAATAAAATTTGGTGATAGAAACGTTATTGTGATATACAATTGGCTATCTTCCTTTTTTATCAAAGCTATTAGATTCCCTTTCACTTTTTTTTGTACTATTTTTTCAGGTATCATAGGGTCTTGAGTAGGCTTCGTATATTAGCGAATTGTTTAGTTTGGTTGTAAAAGAATTACTAGGTAGGAAGTGAAACCAATTCAACATTCGTAACACGATTTAATGAGGTATTTTGCATGATAAATCTGCATTAAAACCTTAACTTCGTGACATCTCACTAAACCATAAGGAGCCGTAATTAAACAAAATGTTACCGACATCTACATGACTTCAAGCCAATGTCATCTGTACTATATGTTTTCTCTGATAAAGTCACTGAATTTTGTGTTACTGCCTTTAAAGGTCACTTTCAGTTGGATGTGGTGACTGTGGTGTTTGAATGGACCAATGATACCCTTGTACTTGTTGAATGCTTGATTTCGAATTCTAAATACAATACATTCGTTTGTGCTTGTATCTTACTTCTTAATTCAGTTGCGTTAATTCTGGGATTCCTAGTTCATACTACAATTCTAATCATTCAAATATAATAGTGACTTTAATTAAAAAGACTAATTTTCTTTGATCAATGGGTCATCGATATGTAATAGATTCTCCCACTAGTTTGAATGTCCATTTAGACTTTGTTTTCATAAATTATGTGGAAATATATTTGACTCGTGGATTATGAAGTAGTCAAAATATGGGATGAAACATGGGATATATATTGGACATCTAGGATGTGGCTGGACGATCTAGACTTCATAGATGATCCGAGTCTTCTATCGCACACACAACAATAAATGCAGGAAAAGAGTACTAGTGTGGCAGCAGCCTCAGCAGCAGTAGGTATTAACATACACAAAGGGAAAAGCAAGATTTTCCGATACAACACAACATGTACCAACTAAGTCACACTTAGCGGAGAAGTCTGGGAGGATTTAATGACCTTTATGTATCTGGATTTCATCATTGATGAACACGCTGGATATGATGCAGATGTGGAGGCACGGATTGGCAAATCAAAAACAGCATATTTATAGCTGAAGAACACCTACAGCTCAAAACAAATGTCAACCAAC